CATTGACAGCAACCTAAGTCAGTATACTACATGTTCCTTTATTATTCCTCCTTCATCTTGACAGTATTAATATGTTCATCAATGAGGTTCGATATGTTATATCATAAATGAACAGTTTCTTATTTAACCAACTTAAATGTACTTTTTAGTACTTCCATAAAATGATCAGAATTTCGTGTGCTGTTCAGACGAATATCGCAATGCAAATGCGTTTCATCGAATTTGTAATAGCTAAGTTAAAATTAGTGTTCTCGTCGAGGAAGTGTTAACGTGAAGATGTTCTTCGTGTAAATCAAATTGAACACGTCTTTGTTGGCAACGAGGCAAGCCATTCACGCGTGGCCCCTGGTGCAGCTGCTAAACGATACACGCCTGCGAAATTGCGGGTGGCCACCTTGTGCGTGAGCATCCGATCGTATACCGGCAAGTACAACTTCGTTTTGCCGGCTATGGAGACGTTAAACCCGGGATCTCTTGCGAGAAAACATGTACAATCCATTAGATATTTATTTATATACAGAGTGACGCGTAACGAGCGCGGGATAATCCGAGTGCAAACATGACATTGCACTTGCTTTTGGGGTAATGTGGAGTGTGTATGTTTTAATTAGAGCTAGAATCGAATAATGGAAAGTAAAGTTGTAATAATTAGCAACAGTCAGTGAATCGATGTTAAACACCCGTCTTTCATTCTTGAAGTCCACTATAATACTTGAGATCCACTTCAATAGTTGAAGTCTGCTTCCAAATCTCGTTTACAAGAAATTCAAAATAATTCAAAATAATCTTATTAAAAGTGATAATTAAGCAGCTACAAACACACTACATGAGGTGTGAAATAAGGAGTAAAACCACGTTGCTAATTTTCATCATCAAACTTCACAAATTTGGAATTCGAGTTTGATGGTTCCTTACAGCATGATGGTTTATTACAGTAATAAAATTCTATCAAGGTTAAAATCACCCACTTCAATTATCTCGAATTTTTATAGAATTCCTCGTTTCGTCGCTTAAAAATGCAAAATAGATTAAATACACAACGACATAATATTTTATTAGTTGCTCAAAAAAACCTAACCTAAACCTCGAAAGTATCGCATATCAAAGTTCAGTCTGTTAATGTCACTTAAAAATGCAAAATAGATTGAATGCACAACAACGTAATATTTTATTACTTGCCCAAAAAACCTAACCCAACCCTCAAAAATATTTTAAAAGTATTACATATCAAAGTTCAGCCAGCGTCCACTTTTGAATGCATCTGTATAACTAAGTACGTATTAAAAAGAATATTTCCACGGTTAATATTACCTCAGTTGCTGCCACACTAATTATCGGAGTATATTCGCCCATATTTATTCACATGCAGTGTATAAACAACTATATTTGTGTGCAGGATTCACGACCTTCGACTCGCGTCTTATCCGCTTGATGTTACGCTGGCGAACGGTCAAGAAGAGATAAATTCGCGTGGTTTTTTGCGAGGCTGGCTTAATTGGCCACCGAATGGAATGAAACGGATCGAGCACGGCGAAGTAGCGAAGTGAAAATAATGCGAACGACGTCCGGGAACAACGCAGTCGTGAAAATATAATTTGACGACTTGGTTTCTCCTTTCTGATCGCTCGTTTGGGATTACAGGCTCGTTCAACTGGTAAAAACGCACACTGCCTTTCGACTGTTTGTTCGTTTATTGATGACTCGACTTTCCATTGGAAAATTTGTCATTGTTCATTTTTAAGGATATCTGAATTATTAGTTCAACCACTTTTGATTTATGAACTTATTTTCTACAAATTCTTACATTTTGAGTTATTAGCTTTTGATGTACTGGTAAATAAAAATAATAATATTAATTTTTTATTAATAGAAAAATATATTACAAATTGCGTTTCTAGTAGATAAAACAATTACTTGAACAATTTTAAAATAAATAAATAAAATGAATAAATTTCTTCTATTTTAAATATGTGTTACCCCAAAAAAATTAATCATACAAAGACAAAAAAATAAAAAATAACAGAATGAAAAATATTTCATAACCGGGTCAAAATGACCCCGCAATGCAAGAGACAATTATGTAATCTTCTCCGAAGCTGATTCCAATTAGTCAGAAGTGCCTGAAACAAAGGAATTGAATATTGCGTGCCAGTGAACTTTGATATATGTGATGAGCAACACATATTTTAAGCATTGAAACATAGAAATAATTACAGCACCGACGATTATCATTTCTCGCGATCTAATATCTAAAGTTCAAATCGACGCCGCGATATCCACGCAAGCATTCGATATTTTTCAAAATATTCGTATCTGCGTCGATTACGTAAAACAAATTACCATATTAATCGATACTCATTTAATTAAAAAGATTTCCATTCGGCCAGAAATTTTCATACAATGTATCGATCAATCAATCTTAAAATTAGCATAACTGAATTGAAAGTTTCTTGTAAAGTTCACGTTGTAGTTGCTTATTAGTATTTACAAATTAAGATTGCTTTTCGATTATAAAATTACAACGTGCTGATTAACCTGATGACCGATATTCTTCTCTGATGAATGCAGTAATTATAAAAATCATATAAAATGACATTGTTCATTGTCAAATTTTATACAACAACCGCTCCAGGACTAATTAGTCCAAAGAGACCAAGTTTCCTTGAAGGAGACTTCTCGTGAGACGCACACATCCAATACAACAGTTCAATACAAAGAGTAAAATGCAGCAATCAAATAGAAATAAATCACACGACAAAGGGTTGTAAGCAAGAAAGGAAGGAAGGAAGGCAAAAGCGTCTGGCAACGCGAGCGCGGAAAGCGTAGCGTCAGGTAGACACGTATTAAATCGCATATTAAGTCTGTCATTTCCCCATTTAAAAGCGAAGAAAGGCAAACCGGTAGGATCGAGAGATCCAGGTATAAGGCGAAAAAGAGAGAGGAAGAGGCTCGGAACGGGCCGGTGCGTTCCCTGAAGCATGGACGAAGAGACGAAGGGGAAGGTTGGAAGTTAAAGGGGACATAGAAGGACCACACGCACGCGCCGCCCACAGATACGCTATCACTTGGCTACAACCGACGTGATCTGCATGCGCATGTCCTCTCTTCGTCACGAACCAGAGGAACAAAAAATCGAGGGATCAGGGAAAGGGAAAGGAGGATCTTCCCTCCGCCTCTTCTTCTTCTTCTGCACCCTCTTCGCTTAGCTTCGCTGATTTAAGGGGTTGGCAGAGCGTCGATAACACGTCTGGTCAGCCCTACTCTACTCCTTCGGAATTTCTTCTTATTCTTCTTCTTCCTTTCGATGTGTTAACGTAGGATATATACGGATATCTTTACACGATTAGGTTTCTCTTCCTCGATATTGTCACTGGGGTCCGTTCTGGCCCCAGGGACTTGTAACGAGGAGCTGAACTCGATTATTTATTTAGCTATTCATTTAGGTTATTTTTGGAATTCAACTGACTTAGGGTAGTATACAATATTTTGAGAAAGTGCAGGAATATTGTTGTTCTCGGACTGGGGTCAGTTCTAAGCTGCATCTAAAGAGTGCATCACAAGCAGCTGAATTTGACATTCTATTTATTAGGCATTAAATTTATTTATACAGACAATAGATTCTGTAGAAAGTCACACTTCATGTACACAAGGAGTGTCATGTCTCTAATTGTAAATACATATGTTTATTTGTAAATATGTTTATATGCATTATTTGTAAATAATATTTGTTTCTTGTATTAAATAATATGCTATTATAATTTGTTATTTCTACATCTTACACCTTGTAATCAAACTCCATTCTTCACAATTCAAACTTCGCGGTTCTGCTAAAAAATGGCGGCACCAAACTCGATGTTTCATAACCTAACCTTCAAACTCAAATAGGCTCAAAATATCTTATAAAGAAAGCAATACATCTTATAAATTACAGAGTAGTCAAAAAACTATAAAATCTCAAAATCTTTCTTAAATATAAAAGCAGAGATTGATTCATCCTTGGAGTCACAGCACAAGCATCAGCAGGAGCATCGAAATCGCGCTAAAGACGATAAGGACGAAATAAATAGCCGAAAATCGTGTGGAAACGCAGCTTAAGCGAATTCGGGTGAATTAATTTGGCCAAAGGGGGCAACGCGGTCGCGGCTGTCACGAAATTATGTAAATTTGCTTTACAAGGCTGGGACAACGTTCCCTTGTTTTTCTTTCTTTCTGATCCGGATCGGAATTCCTCAAGTTTCCAGCTTCGGAACGAACTGCCTCGTGGAAGAAGTGGAAGCCGACCGGTCGTGCGAGATTCTCCTTATCGACGCGAACTGTCCCGTGTTCGGCCCGTTCCCGGGCCCGAAATAGCGTCTTCGGGCCCACCTCGTGCCTTTCCAGCACCTACCTTCGAAAAAGAAACGTAACCCTAGACGTATCGCGGTGTCATGTCCCGCGCACCTGGCGGCCTCGCTCTTTGTAACACGATACACGCGTTTCTTCGTCTTGTTCTTCTTCTTCTTCATCGTCGTCGTCGTTGTCCGAGGCTGCTGTTGCTTTTTCTCCCTCTCTGTCTTCAGAGTTCATACTTTTTTCTATGCTATCGTATTCGTTTCGGGATTGAAGAGTATCGTTTGGGATGAATTGTTTGCGATAAGTTTACTTTCAGCGTCTACTTCTGAACTTTGGATCTGGAGAACAATTAGAGGAGGAATGACTGAATGGGAATGAACAAGAATTGTGATGTGATGTTTGTTCGATGTTGTTCTTGGAGATCACCTGAAAGTTTCGGTTTGGATCCATTTTCGATAACTTTTGTGATATTCCTCCTATTCTTCATCCTACTCTTCATATTCTTCATCAGATATAATTAAACAGAAGTATAATACAACACGTGTGAATATTTTAAAGCAAGTATAATTAACAAGAGTAGTTTAATTTGAAAGGTCTAAAAACTACGGAACAAGGGAGAATAAAAGACCCAGCTCTATCTCACAAACGTTATATATTTCACTATTGTACTCGACAAAGAAAAGTGTTCAGGTGGTTGGCACAGCAGGCACGACAACGTTTTAAAAAATAATATAATAAAAGTTTATTTTACACGTACAAACGAAACACAAGGGACACGTACATAGGTACACAGTGGAAGTACAAAAACAAAGAGACCCTCCGCATACTTACAGTAATACCTCGTTACGTAACGCAATTACACAAGTAACGAGCTAAATCCTTAAATAACATACGCGATTAATATTAACCTCTAAAACATAAACAGCTACGAATACGTACGCAGGTAAATATACACTAAAAGATGAAGAACAAAAATGTCCCACTACACCTAGAGCGAGTTCTCATCGTCCTCGATGATCCTCGAATGATTCACAAAAACGCTTTCAATTTACAGAGAATTCGACAGCACGAGTTCACCGTCGAATTCGATGAACGAAATCTTTTGTTTTTCCTGGCACACGTAAATTGTTCTAGTTGGCTTAGGAGAACACTAGGATGTTTCCTGTAGCACAACAGTGCTGGATCCAGGTACAGGGATCCCTGGAGGCGGTGGCGACGTCGATACGCCCAAATTATGGGTCAACGAGTGCCTCCTGAGGTCGCAGTTCCTGCGAAAGACCTTGCCGCAGGAGGCACAGTGGTATGGCTTGATGTCCGTGTGCGTCAGAAGGTGTGTCTTCAGATTGCTCCTCTGATTGAAACTACGGGCACAGACGGGACATTTGTGCGGCGATTCCTCCATGTGCAGGATCTTGTGCACCGCCAGGGTCCTACTCTGGCAGAATCCTTTGCCGCACTCCGCGCATTTGAACGGCTTTTCCTTGCTGTGGATGTACCTGAAGCAGAAACGGCGGTTTTCTCGATTCTAATATTCGCTTACAAATGAAAATTACTCTGATATCTGACATTATGCTTGTATCTATATTTTTGAGAAATGTACTGAATCAGTGGTTCTCAATCTTTTTATAAACGTTATGTAAGAATAGTTGAGAACCACTGTACTAGTTTGTACAAGGAAAACAGAAGACCAGTAAATTGTCCATCACCAAATTTTCATAATCATTAAATAACCTTTTTATAGTATGAAAGAACAATATTTTACTTGAAACAATATTTTATTAAAAATAAATTATAGCAACTATTAATAATTGAGTGTAAACAGATGTAAAATATAACAAATTATAATAAAAGGAAAATAGTAAAACCCCAATTAAAAGTATCGATGTAGTCAATGATTTCAACATGGTAGGATAAAGTCAATAAAATTGGAAGTCGATGAAAACGTGAACGAAATGATTGTCACTGATCTCATATAACCCGACGAACGAACCGTGGAAGATGCTGGTAATAGGATTAGCGAGATTAGAGGGATTAAGGATTGTCAGGCTATCGGAGCGTGGAAATTTTGTGGACCACGAAACGATTAGAGATGTGTTACAGCGATTGGTTTATTGGTAAATTTGTGAGTGTTGAAAGTGTCGAGATTATAAGGGTTGCAGGTACGGAGATTATCAGGGGATTAACACGTATTTGATAGATAAGAATTAACCCTTTCAGAACTGAATTTCTTCGACAGTGTGAACAATCTTTTTATCAGAGGTTAATGGTGGAAGCTTAAATAAGATTTATCTACAAATGTATCTACAGAGTGTTGCAATGAAATGTTCACAAATGTTAATGCATTATAAATACATATTTATTGTACACAAATACGTATTTATTGTACACAAATATGTATTTATTGTCGTATAACTTCAGCAAGTGAGGTTAGGTTATGTTCGCCATTTTGTAGTCACGTGTGTTCAAAATGGCCACCGACACTTGCTTTCATTTGGAGACATTAATGTTCAAAATTAATAATAACATTCAGAATGCTATATTTTATTTACTATAAAATAAATAATAAAAAAGGAGTCATTTGTTATTGCGCAAGTAATTGGAATATAAATAATTAGAAGCAAAATAATGAAACTTGTAATATAAAAAATAACTTCGAGGAAGGTTATAGAAAACAGGTCCTTTAGAAAGGTTCTCAACTTCGACACAAATTGAAACTAAAAAACAGAAAAACAACTGACTGCAAACAACGCACGTCAATTAAGAATAAACAGTAAAAAATAACAACTTACAAGTAATAAGACGTCAGATATTATAAATTACTGCGCACTAAGCATTCAAACTACTCAATCGAAACGAATTACAATAAGCGTCAATTTCGTCCAGCTCCTAAATTGCAATCAACAAAACATACAAACGACACGACACATTATAAATCTTGGTATCTTGAATAAAATCAAGGTAAGTGTGACTATTTTAACGCGCAATTACCGGGTCGAAATGAACGGGAATTGCAGACGTATCGATCGACGACGTGATTAATGATCAAGATACGAAAAGCTCTATAAATTGTCACGAATTGATCAACGTAATTAATACACAGCCGTCGTAATTACACGTTCGTGCAAACAGGCGTGCATTATTTCGTCGTGTTTAGACACCACGAAGATTGCAATCAATTTAACCGCACGGAGAAGAAAGCTACATAGGTGTCATGATTGGTGTAATGGTACTTTTGCTGTGCACACTTCGTTCCAGCCAATAAGCATACGTAATAGCAGCTTTATCTTCCGCGTCTCTTCCGCGAACAGATCCTTGCAAGGGTAATTCTTTTTACCGCTTTTAACAGTGATACTTGAATAGAGGTAAATTGAGTTCAATTATCGACCGAGCGACGATTTCTAATTTACGTAACTGCTGTCGAACTTTCTAGAATGTTCTGTATGATTTCTGAAGGATCAGTCGAGACAAAGAATCGGAAGAATGTAGGTTGCAGATTAAATGTTTCAGACGCAACAGCATCTATTGCTGGCTTATTGTTTGAGGAGATATACAGCTTATAATGATGGATACTGAGCTTGCACTTTGATGTAATTACTTTGACGTAATTTTGTATGATTATATAGGAAATACATTCTAATAATTGGTTGCAAAAACTATATTTTTCAATTTGCTAAAATAGAAAACAAAATTCAACATATAATTTTAATCCCAACAAATTATACGAATTCAACAATTCAACATAACAATTCTATTTTCTATAAGCTATTTCGGCAAATAAATGTATCTAATAATTTTTCCCTTAGCATAAATAATTTGAATATAAAGTTAACGTTTGACCCTGCGTCCACCATATGTGCGACTACCGCGCCATCCTCTGCAACGTTTGATAACAATGCGAGAATATTACTTCGACCGTAATAATATCAAGTGAAAGGATCTATAAAATACCCGTGAAATGCTACTGAAGCATTTAACACGAAAGGTTAGAAATGATTCTCCACGAACTAATGCTATAATGTAACATAATGTGCAGTATCTCAAAATCAGTGAAACGTATTTAGTTCTCGAATAGCTCTATGAATCATAGATTTTATTTCAATAGTATGCAGTAATACAATTAAACAATATGTACGTTCTATTCAATAACTATTTACGTTCAAATCGTATAGAAGATACTATCGTTTGTGTAACCTCAAACTGACAGTGATTACAAACGAAGCCTCATACAAATATCTAGAATATGTTAATCATACAAACATATAGAACCTCAGTCAACTCTGTGATTATGAAATAGAAAAGAGTACCCATATAATACTTAAGAAGATATACAAAAAGAACAGTGTCTCGTTAAAAAAGGATTAGTGAAAGTCAAGATTAAGGTTAGATAAGGTTAGAGAAAAGAGAGCAGTGAGGCATAACATCTTAATCAAGCAACAGCTATAAGTGAACGTTTCCTACCTATGGTCCCTGAGGTGATCCTGCCGTCGGAAAGCCTTGCCGCAAATGTCGCACGAGTACGGTCGTTCGTCGGTGTGCGTTCTCTCGTGTATCAGCAGATTGTAGCTCTTGGTGAACTGTCGGCTGCAAAATTTACAGATGAACTGTTTCTTGGGCCTGGATGCCCTGCACGTCCTGGGTATACTGGTCTCTGCGGATGTGGAGGTGGCCTGAAGCGGCGACGAGGAGGACAACGAGGACGAAGAGGACGACGAGCAAGCGGACGAGGATGCCGGCGACGTGAAGGACGAAGCGACGATCTGCGCCAGAGACGTCGATTGTTGCACGGTCGTGGTGGAGCTGGTACCTCGGTTTCCTTCGGATATCCGTCTGAGCAACGCCTCGTGATTCGCAGAAGAAGTAGCCACGGAAGTGTCTCGCAAGAGAGCTTCCTGTTCTTCCAGCAGAGCCAAGTCCTCCTCGGGGTCTCCGATAAAGTCCAAACGTCCCTCGTCCTCGTCTTCGGTGGACTGTAATAACCTGTCGGCAACTAGCTGGTCGCTCTTGGACGTTGTCGTGGACGCGAGCGTGTTGTCGAGGGCGGCGTTAATGGGCGAGCACCTCTGATTAGCAGTGGTCAGTCCCGGAGCGGCGGGCTGATTAACGGCGGGCGCTGCGCTGCTGGCGTGAAGACGATGAAGGGTCAAATAAGTCTCCAACGCCTGGAGATTCAGAGCCGCAGCCGCGGCGTGTCCAGGAGGTAACAAAGCGGCTCTCTGTAGTGCAGCCAGAAGAGCGCCCTGCAGTCCGAGGGCGACACTCTGCAGGGTGAAACTGGGCAGACCAGCTTCCGTGACACTGGTAACGTCCCTGAGGTCCGTGCTGGTGGACGTGGTTGCAGAGGAAGACGGGACCATTACGATTCCCCGTTCCTGCTCGTGGTCCTGGTCCTGCTGTTGCTGCTGCATCCTCCCCCGTCGCTAGAATCGTCCTGGGTCAGGATCAGGGGCTGCCGACGTGTTGCCGGC